TGAACCACTGAATTAAAGGAATATTCAAATGTGAAGAGGAGGCAATGCCGAGCTGAACTCGTTGTTTTTCCGAAGATTAATTTCACCGCGAACAAATCTGAACAGTGCAAGGTCAACTGGCTGAGTTCGATGTGAATATGATCTATTGCATTTTCAGATCAGTCGAGTTCATTTCTTTCGGACGATGCTTTCTTGAATTTGAATGTTGGTGGGAAATCATATCGGATTCGCATCGATTTGGTGCTGGAGAGGAAGGAGAACTCGTTGATGGATGCGCTGGTGAGTGCCGATCATACACAGAGACTGGCACTGGTGGACGCCTATTTACCGGAAACGAACGAATATTATATCGAGAGAAATGTGAAGCTGGTTGACCACATCATTGATTACTATATCACTGGTAAAGTCGTCAACATTCTCGGCTTATTTCATTGATTTCATTCAGCTATCACACAATCAGAAGCTTCACAACAATGAAGCATCCAGAATGCTTACTTTTGGCATTAGCACTCTTATATCCTGTCTTTCTTCACGCAAATTGATTCTTTCCAAAGCTGGGAATACTAGTCTTGAATAGCACTGAATAAACTGTCAGACTGGTGATCTCATAATTGTAGTGATGGTCAATTGTGTGACTTTGATAAGAATTTACCATGAACATCCAAATGGTTGAAGTGCTTTCTTATTTGCCTGCACTTGTTCCTATGATCTCTGCTCTACGTTAGCCAAAATTTTGATACAGCAAAAAACTTCTCTCGTTGTTGAAGGTATTCTCCACAAACCTGTTGATGTCTGTGTGGAACGCTTCAAAGAGGAACTACGATTTTGGAACCTTCATTACGGTCAGGTCGGCGCATTAATGAACATTTTCGGAACGGTTTGAAAGCAATCCATCCACGAAGAATCTATACTGAAAAACGCATTGCTTTTATTTGCACATTGAACATTTGTTTATTTATTGGTATGGCTGATACTAAACAATTGATGTGCAAAACAAATTTTACATTCGTTTGAATTCATCGCCTTTCAAGAGCCTTACGAGGTGCCAGTTCATAGAATCAACGTCATCGCTCGGGCTTTAACAACCTCTTGGATAATTCAAACCGTGCAATACTTTCCTAGACATCGTCTGTTGTTCCTGATCAAATCTCTGTTTTCCTCATCAAGAGTCTCTTGCAGATGGCTCCTTGTTGTGCCATACTCGGTGATCCACTGAAAGACACTTACCGAAACGAAGAATCCACGAAGCTGGACCTTGATCAGTTGAATCAAGTAAGCAAATTCAGCGGATTCGAAAATGTTCTCATCTGCAATCGATTCAATCCGGTCAAATCAGTTTACGTTTAGCGATGAATGAGATGATGAAATTTCCGGTTGCGGGCTCAGCTAGATCGCTTTTGAAGTGCTAAATGATGAAATGCTGCCGTGGACTTAGTTTAGAATGATCAGTAAGCGCACATTATGCGGATTGCGTAACACGATTGTACGCTGAAATCAGAAACTTATGATTATTGGTTTGGATGCAGTAAAGCAATTACAGAATCACTGAGCAGTCACATTACATGTAAACACTAACAAATAAATTCAATTGCTGAAAGCGGTTGAAGTCGTTCGTTCATCAATCAAATTTAGGATGAATGTGAACCACCGTCACCCCTCCTTTAGTACTTTTTGTTCGAGGAGCTTAATACGAAACATGGATGTACTGAATGTAGGCAAAGTCCGTTGATAAATGGATATGGATTGAGGGGAGATGGGAAAATTGGAGCTGTGAATCTTTTTTTTAGAATTTAGAATTTTTTAGAATTTACAATTTAGAATGCTTAATTTTAGGATTGCTGTGGAAGAATACATTGGATGTTATGGAATGTTGTGGAGAATCCGCAATCGTCGTTACTCGCAAAAATATTCGCCTTTCTCTCGATTTCTTTCGTTTTCGTTTCAGTTCTCGGTAATTTCACCTGTGCTCTCAGTGTTGATCTTTTGAAGTGTATTAGCTTCATGCGCTTGCTCCTCTATTTTCCTCTGCTCTGTTACAGCTGCTGAAGATGTTCTGATGACGATATTTTAGTTTTTCCTTTCACTTTACAGTCAATCTCATCGTGAGAATAGTCAAACTGCAAATTCCATCACTTATTCGCAGCACCTTTTCAGGTTTAGTGCTAGGGTCAATGCCTGAATTTCAACAAGACGCATCGAGTGCTGCCGCCTATCATCTGCTCCATTACGGCAATCGTCGAACAGATCATCCACGCAAACTAATCGAACCGAATTCGGAGTTTCGGAAGCTCTATCCGAATTTTGTCTATCATCCCACTGATGCACCGAATTCCTTTTTGACCTCAGTCGAGTATTTGTGCATTGGATGGTTTACATTCGAATACTTGCTGAGGTTTATCATCAAACGCTTAATATAATTTCTCTTGATATAACTTATTGATTTTGACTTGTTGGTTCAGTGCTAGGAAAACATAACAAGTAAAAATAGATTGTGTTATACAAATGGATACACAAATATTTGTGATAGAAGCATCTGGCACATGAAGACGGCTTCTCATCCGACAAGCTCATAATCATGCATTGTAATCTCCATCAAGATTGACTCGTAATCTCTCTCAAGACATTTCAATCGGATCAGATTTCTTTAAATCGCTGTGTTCAGGCTATTAGTTGCACCGAGGAAGTTGGTATTCTTCGTTCAACCACTCAATGTGATTGATTTATCGACAATATTTCCATTCTATCTAGAGGTTGCGCTGCCGTTCTTTGGTATTCACGCTGAGAAACTACGTGAATTCACAGGTGAAACTTCACAACACACACCTGTCACATATCGATTTAAATCGATTACTTGTTAATTTTTGATCAAGATTGCTTGATTAAATGATTTGATCTTGATTTTTACTTGATCTTGATTTACCGGAGAAACATAAAAATTAAATACTTGATCAAGATTGAATCGATTTTCACATATCGATTTGATCAAGATCACTTGTTTGTCAGCGATCGGATCACTCTGAAATTGGAACGTTTAGGCGCTATGCTAGTCGTTCGCATATTACGAGTATTGCGCATGGCAAGGGTGTTTAGGTTGGCCAGATACAGCACGGGATTGCAGGTGAGCCCTTTCCTCGCTTCAGCGATGCTTTTCTCTTATCAGTTCTCAGTGGTTTTTCGGCATCACAAGCAAATTGCCCATTAATCTGCACTGTTGACAACAGACAAGCAAGTGCTTCAAGACGCCCCATTGAGAGTGCACTAGTTATGAATGATATGATCATTTACTCGCAGTTATCCCTGAATTGATGTCAGTACTCTAATTCAGACATTTGGCTCCACATTGCGCTCGTCAGTGACTGAATTGACGATGTTGGGGATATTCCTGGTGACGGGTATTGTTTTCTTTTCGACAATTATGTACTTCCTCGAGAAAGATGAAACGAACAGTGAATTCTACAGTATACCCGCAGCGTGTTGGTGGTGTGTGTAAGTCGCTTCCGAATGATTTCTAACCTCCTTTTGATTGATTAATCAGTTATATCAGTTGGTTCTCAAATTGATCAGTTCTGAATTTTTCTGCTCGATCTTAATGATCACACCAATTCGAAGCTTCAGACAACTGTTAACTTTACTGATCTCAAGCATATTTCGAATCATGAGCTTACTAGATTTGAATTCGTCTGTTCATTACCACAATTTATTCAGTCAGTTTTCTGCCAAGTCAAGTTTTCAACCCCGAAACAAACTACGCACAAACAAATAACTTGCAACAGAGATTAACGCCACCATTCAAAAACTAGTCAGAATCCACTGTAGTGCTCATATTGCACGAACTCGCGATCTCAAATGTGATTGTATCGAAAATAACGAAGTAATCAAAGACCTCGAAGATTCAATATTTTCAGAGTGACAATGACAACAATTGGTTATGGAGACTCCATACCACAAACAACAAGTAAATTTATTGTTTGTTTTTTTTTGAGAGAGAGAAATTATTGGCCATTTTTGTTTCTTTTCGTTGATTCCACTGACTGTCGATTGTTACTCGATTTGCTTTGATGAGGTGAAGTTTGCTGATTTGACGAGCTGAAGTTGCAGTTGGCAAAATAATCGCAACATCGGCAAGTATTTGTGGCATAATCGTGCTTGCATTTCCCATTTCAATGATTGTCGAGAAATTTGCTACCGCACAGCAACGAGCCATCGAGCGTGAAGCGGCATCGAAAGAAGGTTGGTGACTATTTTCAAGAGATGAACCTTTAATTTTTAGCGCAATCCATCAAACGGCTGGTTTTGAGACCATTTGGACGTGAGTGACTCTGAGTGCCTGCCA